GTACCTCTTAAATTTCATTAGGTTAGATGGGTCCCTATAGAGGCATCAAATCATTTGAGTCACAGAGTCATAGGTGTGGCTGTTTAGTTAGGGTCACTGTCTAGGTAATTGTGTAACTGCCCCCATTAAGAGGTCAAGAGCCCTCTTCAAATTCACACTTCCCTTTATGCTCCTCTGTCATTGGCTGCAGGTAATTAGAAACGGTAATTCCAGTCAGAACACATTTCAATCTGCCCGATTGTGACTCGCCAACAGCTCCAGATATGTAGCACGCCAAATATATCACAACCAGCCTACAACTCTCTCAGAGCACATCTTTGGTAGTTCACACGCGATTATAATTTGCTTACGCAATACCCATTTTTCCAGTGATTCTGGGCAGTCAAATGTGATTCCTCAAAATCGTGCAATCTAAATTCGGCTTAAGGTTCTTGGTAACTGTAGATAAGTGTTAACTTTGGTAATAATCACTTTGCTTGAAGTAACCTTTAACCTTTGATTCTTCCAGGTGCAGACAGGAAGTCGTGAAGATCTGATGACCGATTACTTCACCAAATCCTCTCGACCCGTCCCACTTCGAGAGGGTGTTAAAACACCCACTAATTATGTCCACCCAACAGTCATGAGCAGTCCTCAAGAGGTTGATACTCATGTTTCTAAACCAGGACACAGTGTGAAACCAAACCTCCGGCTCCCAGACTCCTCCACACCACCCGCTCACTCACAAACACTTCCAAACAGAGGAGCAGGACTTCGCCCATCACCTCGTGCGAGCACCAGCAGCAGTCTAAGCCGAAACTTCAGCCTAGCCTCGGCAGACCTACTCCGCTCCAACGGTCCCGACAGCTATCGTCCAGAAGTAGCCTCCCTCAGTCAAAATGAAGTTGTGCTGAGGAGGACTGGTGCTGGTGCTAGAGAGAGACCAGCGTCTGCTAGACTAGCGGGACCTTCACCCCTTTCTGAGGATCCTGGACAATCTTCTGTGGATCCTCGGCGCCTGTCTGTTGCCCCATTTAGGGATGAACTTTCTCTAACTAGTCCGTCTGCTCTGCACTCTTCTTCTAAGGCTCTGCAGGCAGAGCGAGAATACGCTGTTGTCGGAGGTGCTAGCTGGACAGGAGCAGCACGTTCTGGGGTTGTTCAGAGCAAATCTGGAGCCCATCGGGGTGAGGTAGCAATGGTGACACCGGTGCGAGCTGTATCAGCTTTGAGGCTCAAGGACTTGGAAGAAGAGCCTCAGGAGGAAAAAGAAGCAGAGTCACCTTTATTGAAGAAAGTAGAGCCAACAAACCAGAGCTATGCTAACAAGGAGCAACCAGCATCTCCTGACCCTAGCAATGACCCTCAGACAGTCTGGTATGAGTATGGCTGTGTGTAGACCTTCGCCAAAGAACCCTCTATTGGCACTGTAAAGTCATGTAAATAGGAGAGAAGACTGTAGGAGGATGGCCATGGCCCCCCTCCTGCAGATGCCTCTTAGGGTTTTGCACATGTTGATCTGGAAATGAAAGTATGGGGCACTTGAATGTATTTTTCTCTTCATTTTTGTTTGAACAACATTGATTTGCTCTATTTAAAAAACTATTTTTGGGCTGTGTTGCAGCCGCTCCCAGAGTAAATTATGGAGTAGCTACTGAATTCATCCAAAGAGAGTCTGTATGTGCAAGAGTCACACTGGGACTGTTACAGGAAGTATCCGCTCTCTTCAGCTCTTCAACTCTTCATGGTTCTTGTGGCTTGCTGTTGGACATGGATTTGGCTCCAATTCATTCAGTGGAACATAACAAGACCATGTAGCCAGAAACAGAGTAGCTTAAGGACGAAGGACGTCTTGGGAAACGGCATCAACTGAAATCTGGATTTCCAGTTTAAATAGAGAGAAATTAAAGGGTAGATAATTTTAACTTTTCAAACAATGAGGACATTTGTCTATTTATTAATGTCTTTGAGACAATGAAATATATTGTGTGTGAGTGTGTGCTTTTTTTAACGTGTGTACATAGATATGCTTACATAATATCCTCAAATTAAGCGTTTTGTTTTGTGTGGTTGGTGATATTCAGTCATTTTGACGGGACTTTTCAAAATTTTTCTCAATTGTAAGCTGAAGTCCCCAAGAATTGCTCATACTCGTCACTGATTTTATATTTCTGTTTGCTGGCACTGGTGTTTTCTTGCCATCTCATGCCATCATCATCTCAACCAACTGAATCTGGAGCTGCAAAGAATAATATATTTCCCTCAAGCTTACACACTGGGCATGTAAATATAAAAGACTCTTGTGCACAATTACTGTTAAAGTTAACAACTGTTTGTTATAACATTTCTGGGCCAGAACGTGGCTCGTTTCCTGTTCAATATGGTGTGTATTAGAGAGTAGAGCTCTTAACAAATTTTGAAACATAATGTAACATTTTGTGTGTAGAAAAAGCTGATGTCCAAAACATGAATTCTTTGTAATGTTTTTTTTTTTTTTGTAATAAAAATGTTGAGTACAATTTAAACTTTCGCTGAGTACAGATATGATTTTTAAATTGGTATATCAAGGGTTACACCCAATTAATAAAAGTGATTTCCACTCTGAACAAATGTGTTTAATCCTAATGGGCATTTTTAGAAACTGATTTCAGCTTCCTGCGTAGCTATCGGTAGCCTTCCTGTTGTACGTCTCTCGTGACAGTGGTATAAAGTAACCAATTACAAAAATTTTTTAATTGCTGTAATTGGGCAAAAATTATAATTTTGTGAGTAGATTAAAAAATTTATACTTTTAGATTTACTTGAGTACAGTTCTATTTATTTTTCTGTACATTTACTATGCATTACTTTTCTTCAACCTGCCTTAACTACTGTGACAAATGAGATGTAGAGAACACAATATAATACAACCAATTGTACCCAATACCAAACCATCACATGAATACAATCAGTAGAAATTGTCTTGCAAGAACAGCTCGTTTATTTTCTTTTATTTCGAATTGGCAGGTAAATATTTGAATGTTTAATTAAACAGCAGTTATTCTCTCTCATGCCCGTTTTTCTCTTTCTACTGTTGTGCGCTCTCTAGATCACTCTTTTTTTCCCCCTACATCTTTTCTCTCGATTTTCTCTCTTTACTTTGGCTCTCTTTCATTTTGTGTTTTTCTTTTCTTTCACTCTTTCTGTCACTTACTTTCTCTCTTTTTTAATCTATCCATCTCTCTTCTATTTGACCCTTTCTCTCCTTTCTTTCATCTCTCCTTTCTTTCCTCTGTCTCCCCCACCCTCTCGGTTTGTTCATGCGTCTGTTCTCTGCATCGCTTGACATTCTTCTGGAGTGTGGGGCAGGTCGCTGCAGGATGTGATGAAAGACATCCTGTCCTTTGGGTGTCAATTTGTCATATCAACTTGACGCAATTTATGTGTTTTATTTCTGCCTTGGAGAAACGGCCACCGAAGAGTTTTCGCGTGATCTTCAAACATCTTCACTGGGTCGAAAGAGCTGCGTGCGGATCGTATTACTGATGCTCAACGATAGACTTGTGGGATTACAACCAGCAATACGGAGGTAATCAACTTTCTGCGCACATTTTACTTCTACAAATTAACTATACAACCTCGACAAATTCACTGCCTCGGGAAAAAATACTTAGTCCAAATCAAGTTTACTTGTCATTAAAAAGTATATATTTTTTCACGTGTATTATAAATATTTACGTCTTGAAATGACCATCGATGGAACAAAAAGGGAAACCCACTCCATAATTTCAGCAGCACCAATTTATTGGTCGAAAAGTGAAAAATTTTAAGCTTATTTACTAGTAAACCACAGAAAAAAATCGATTTTAATTAGGTACCCTATTAAAAGACGCGTTTGAGTGAGTAGAGACTGCCATGTTACAAGTTCAAACCGATTTTCAATTATTCCTAGCGCCTTTCAACAATATTGTTTTAGTTAATATCTCAACAGTGTTGATAAGAAGAAAATATCCAGGCGAAGGGAGTAATTCTCCTCTGCCATCAGCAACAGAACTGAGAGCGGGACATGTTTAAGTCCACGTTTTCACACGTTTGCCTCGGGGTTATCGAGTTTAACTCTACACATCTAAAGTCTTTACAATATCCTTAACATTTCCATTTTTATAGTCTTATTATTTCATTTCAAACAGGATTAACGCTGTGAAATATTTCAAGCCAGATAAAATAATCATGGTGCACAGGTCATAAAAAGTTTTCTCTAATGAATTGAACATCACATAAGATCGATAGAAAAATGTCTTCATTTTGAAGCTTTCAATACCTGGTCTGTCTTCATACCCAATAGATTGGTCAGTGAGCAATCATGCCAAGCTTGTCAGAAGAAACCAAATGAAGCCCAAAACTTTCCTGGTACACAGCTACATTGCCTGTGGAATTCAGAAATGACTTTGGATACAATTGACCCCAAACTTAGCAACATCGATTCCAAGCCTTTTCTTCCTCCAGACCTCATTTCTAGGATTGTGAGACTCTGCAAGTTTGTCACTTTTTAATCAAGCTAATATTTTACAGCTTTCACAAAATTTGTTAATATTAACTTTTTATGCCATATCTACATTCAACAAAATTTGGCTTACCAAAATGGGTAAAAGACATTACATAATAATTATGTTTGAATAAATAATTATATAGTATAATAAAGTATAGTTTGAACATGTATTTTATTGTCGTTTTAATTGTATTATATATATTGTTTTATATATAACTTTCCTTGACTAAAGAAAGCAAGAAATGGTGAGAGCAGTACAATCACGTTTAACTAAACATCTTAAAATCCCGTCCTTAACCTCTTAGTGTTTTTTCAGGCTAATTAGCCCTAAAAAGAGATTCTCTGAGCAAATGGCATGGTGTTCTTAAACCATTTAGAATATATGCATGGTTTTCTCTGCAAAAAAAAGTTCCATGTTTCTTACGGTGACTCAATGCTGCCACAGACAATTGTTTTTCTAAATTAATAAAGTAATGATAGTGGTATCACTATATGTAGGATGGTATAGTGGTAGCACTGTCGTCTGTCACATGGAGGACCCGAGTTTGAATCCTGGTCTCCCATGTGTCTGACTGATTATATATTTGTATGTTTCAAACGTGTATTTTATTGTCATTTAAAAAATGGTCAAATTAATAAAGTAATATAATAATAGCGGTAACACTATATGTAGGATAGTATAGTGGTAACACGGCTGCCCTTCACACAGGAGACGGGGTTCAGAGACTGGGGTTCGAATCCTGGACTCCCATGTGTCTGATAGATAATATAATTCGAATGTGTATTTTATTGTCATTTAAAAAATGGTCAAATGAATAAAGTGATAATAGCAGTAACACTTAATGTAGGATAGTATAGTGGTAACACTGTCGTCCTTCACATGGGAGACCAGGGTACAGAGACTGGGGTTCGAATCCTGGATTCCCATGTGTCTGACAGATTTTATAGTTCAAACGTGTATTTTATTGTCATTTAAAAAATGGTCAGATTAATAAAGTGATAATAGCGATAACACTATATGTAGGATAGTAAAGTGGTAACACTGCCGCCCTTCACACAGGAGACCAGGGTCCATATCCCGGTCAGGGCATACTTCCTAGGGGTGTATATATAAAAAAAAACTATTGCAATTCCTTGTTCCAGAAAGCGACTAAATATTCACATAGATAAAGTCTAGAATACTCTCATTTTCTAAAATAGTATTCATATTTAAAATGTTTCATTGCATGAGATCATGCTGTGATCTTTTGGGGGATCTTTTTCCAGCTAAAACCTTTTAACTATAGTCACCTATAGTCACTAGGAAACATGTTTTCTCCCTTTTTTGTGTGTTCAAAGGTCTGTCCCTTAATCACCGATAGACAGTGATTCAGAACTGAGAAACTATGATGACTGCTACCACACATTTTTTCCACTGAATTATTAATGTAATGACATAATAATTTATAAAAACTGCATAATTGTCACACAAAAAATAAACAAAGATTGCAAAGATTACTGTATAACTGGAATTATTTGTGCACCAGTGACCACAACACCAACTCACTTTACCAAGAAAAGCAAATTAATGTGCATTTGACCACTTTAGCATTTTGTGAACCATTAGATTTTAAATGATTAGTGAGAATAGTTTAGCCTCAAAGTTTGAGAAAAGTACATAAATGACTAGAGCGGAAATACATAAAATCCTCTCTGTGTGTGGTATACATGTTGTAGTGATAAGCTTTGAATTCACAAGGTTACATTTATCGATGTTCATTGGTGAAAGCGTCGGGCACTTGAACAAACTCTGGCTCCAGCAGATAGAGTTTCAGAGAGATTACCATAACACTGGTAGTACTGGTGCACTCTTTCATGCTATGTCTGTTCAAGAAACGCGAATCACTGCTCATTTGACCGCTCTAAACAAGGCCACATGGTTTTAACAAATTCCTAATTCTTTGCAACCACTGTTGAATCACTACTGAACACTTTCAATGTTATCATGCATTTATGCTCTTTTTTTATGTATTTGCAGCATTCGAGGAGATGAGTTTTGTTTTTACAAGATAAATTTTTCATTGTGAATGTAATTTTTTACCACATATTATTTTACCACGTATTATTTTTGCAGAGAAAACCATGCATATATTCTAAATGGTTTAAGAACATCATGCCATTAGCTCAGAGAATCTCTTTTTAGGGTTAATTAGCCTGAAAAACCGCTAGGAGGTTAAGGACGGGATTTTAAGATGTTTAGTTAAACGTGATTGCACTACTCTCACCATTTCTTGCTTTTTTTAGTCAGCATCCCTTTGTTCACCACAGCTCTCTACATGAAAAACAGGAACTCTTTTTGAACCCACTGTTTAAACCCATAAAAAGATTTTGCTATAGACCAAAGGGAAGTGTGTATTTTTAGGGATCAGAAAACCTCCCATTTAGACAGTTGCTGGTAGGTAATTGGTTCAACATCCCAATGATTCCAAGTAAAGTTTTACTTTTATGTGATCTACAAATGTTTCTTATTTTGAATGTATCACAGCATCAGGAAGAGCAATAATTTATTTTATTTCTTTCCCATAGAATCCATGGACTAACCTACAACGTTACAGCCACACTCTTTGATTAAGCTGCACCAAAGATGAGGCTGGAAACATGAACATGTCTGAGGAGCAAATCAACTGCACAATAAGCCATGAAATTCACCAGTACCTGTTCTCAGTCGCATACATCCTAGTCCTGCTGGTGGGTCTTCCTGCCAATGCATATGCACTCTACCATGCTGGGCTTCAGCTGAAAGCTCGAAATGAGCTGGGGGTCTACTTGTTGAACCTGACCATATCAGATCTGCTCTACCTGTCCTCCCTGCCCCTTTGGCTCCAGTATATCTTCCAGGGAGATGATTGGAGCGGTTCAGAATGGCTCTGTCAACTCTGCGGCTTCTTACTGTACGAGAACATCTACGTCAGCATTGGATTTCTGTGTTGTATCTCCATTGACCGGTATCTAGCAGTGGTTTATCCCTTCCGGTTCTCTGCGTTTCGATCAGTTCGAGCAGCAGCTCTGGTGAGCACCTTGGTCTGGCTCAAGGAGCTTGCTGTAGGAGTGGTGTTCTTCCGCCATAAGGAGCTCAGCAGGGACAAGCATAACCAGTCAGTGTGCTTTGAGCACTATCCTATGCAAACATGGGAGTTCCAAATTAACTACTACCGTTTTTATATCGGTTTCCTGTTCCCTTTAGGAATCCTCTCAGTGTCGTACATCCGAGTACTTCGGGCCGTGGGAAAAAGTGCAGGTACACAGACTTTCCAGAAAACGCGCATCAAGCACCTGGTGACAAGCACAATAGTCATCTTCTTGGTGTGTTTTTCACCATACCACATCTTTCTATTGGTGCGCACAGTATTTGAGAGGGACTGCAGCTTCATTGAGGCTATTTTCAACTATTATCACTTCTCGCTGTTGCTCACAAGCTTTAACTGCATAGCAGACCCAGCACTCTATTGTTTCATAAGTGAAAGTGCCCAGAAAGGCATTCAAAAGGCTCAGGAAGCATGCACTCGTGTCTTCTGCTGTTGCTCGAAAAGCCATGGTAGGTTCAGCACACACTCCACTGAGCTGGTGGTTACCAACGATAATGTAACAGGAACCTCAGTGGTGACATTACTACAACAGATCAAAACAGATGTATGAACTGTGTGTTGTGCTTTCTGACTGAAGGCACAGATAATGTCATCAATTCTGACAGCTATTTGACTGAGGGGTATGTTTTAACTGGGAATGATTTTAAACTTGAAATAATCCCATGTATAGGCTTCTGGTTGGCCAACCAGACCATCAGGTTAGAGTTAATTGGTATATTGGCAAAAAGAGTCACCAACATGTTCAAATAACGTCATCCAGATTATCCATGACCACTGTGCAATTCCAAGTTTATTCGTGAAATGCCTTCGCTACTAAATATTTCCATAGTCAGTGGTAGTACAAGAAAGTGGAAGCAATAGGGGTAAAACAGCTTCCAAGCCACTAAGCTGTAAAATGGCAGATTATAGTCAATGGATATTGAGGCACAGTGGTCGCCAACTTCCTGCAAAGAAAATCAATATAGACCCCAAAAATTCCCATGGTCTTTATGTTGGCTCTAGAGAAGTTCCATGGATTGGATTTCAATGGCTCAAGATCTAAAATCCACATCACCAAATGCAGTGCAAAGCCTGGTGTAAAAGACTGGTCTTTAATGCACTGACGGTGCCAGATCTCTCTTATTCCATCGGACCATCTGATGGATGAGACTGGATTTGGTGCTAGGAGAATGGTACTTGTCTACATTGTGCCAATTGTAAGTTTAGTAGAGGGGGGTCGTAGTGTTGGGTTGTTTTTCAAGATCTGGTATAGGCATCATACAGACGTGTTTGGCTTGGAAGAATTTGCCTGATTTTGATATTTTTGGGATGAATTAGGGTGCTTTCACATCTGACTTGTTTAGTTTGCTTCATTCAAACTAGAGTTTGGTTTGTTCGGGCAACAACCGGACTAAAAATTGGACCAAAAGCAGATTAAAAAATGGTCCAAGACCTGCTCGAGGTTTCGGTTCCAAACATACTCTAGAGTGGTTTGTTGTAGTGAGAACATGATCAAACTATGTTCCGGACTAAAAACAAAGACGGCAAAACAAGTTTTTTGAATGAGTACAGGCACCGTACTTGCTTGTGCCTAGCATTATGGGTTTACACAGCAGCGTTTATTATGGTAGCTTGTGGTCAAACTTGGGGTAGTTTGTAATCCGAGCATCATTTGCATTGTGCATCATAAGGAATGCACTCAAATGATATAGTGAAAGATGCCAAAGGTCAAAATCAAGTAGTGACCTCTGTCCATTTTGAGCATGTTATTCCAGGCTTCAAGCTTTCTGTTCTTCATTGTTAACTTCCATGTGCACATTCATTCTAACCAATTGAAAAGCAGTCAGGGGAACACGTACGCTGGTGTATGTGACCAATGAGTGTGCGGTAGGACGTCACATGGCTGCATTTTCAACAAGTGCGGACTAGAGTGATAAGTGTGGTGTGAATGACGAGTAATCTCAGTCCGGACCAAATTAAACAAGCTAGAGATGTGAAAGCAGTGATAACTATTAATCAGTGTCTGATGTCACAAATATACTTTTTCCAAATTGTGAAAAGCAACCAAACCCTCTCCAAAACCTTGCTTGTTTGGAGCATACATTCTGTCAGTTCCTGGAGAATATACCCATGTATTATTCATAATTATAATATAAAATATTACTAATAATCTCAACTGCATGAGGGTAAAAGTGAGAATCTTTTGTGAATGAAAAAACAAATTAAGCTGGTAGATGGTTTGTCTCATGTTAAGCCTGTTAATGGCATGATATGATGCTCACGGATAACAGGAGATGTAGAAAGAGGGAGTGAGAGGCTTTTTTCTGGACAGCTTTTCACAGTGATTTAATTTCCAAGGGAATGTATGAGGAAACTGAGGAACTGAGTGTTGCTTCCGCAAAGCAAAGTACTACTATTTGCTCAAAATGCTCAGGAAAATCGAGATGTTGAATGTGTGCT